GCTTTGTTTAGTTTTGGTTTAGAAAGGAGAAGCATGCTACTGATATGAATATATTTGAGTGACCTTATCTGGTGTTATGAGTTGTGTCGATTAGTGAAGCATACATATTTTGTCGATAGAGTGATGTATTCTTCTTTCTAGCGTTCAAAATGAGCAAAGAAGAGAACATAGCTGACATTCTTTTGGATTGACAGGTTTCCACCAATGCAGATGGGGTTACCATAACCTTTCCGTGGTTGAACATGTAGTTGAGAACTACAAAAAGGCACAGATTCCACTTGACGTGATCTGGAACGACGATGATCATATGGATGGGCACAAGGACTTCACCCTCAACTCTGTTAATTACTCGCGTCCAAAGCTTTTGAACTTCCTTGAAAAGATTCATGCTCGGGGAATGAAGTATATAGTCATCATTGATCCTGGTATTGCTGTTAACTCGACTTATGGAACATACCAAAGAGGCATGGCTGATGATGTTTTCATCAAGTATGAGGGAAAGCCTTACTTAGCCCAAGTGTGGCCTGGGGCTGTTTACTTCCCTGATTACCTCAACCCTAAAACAGTAAATTGGTGGGTAGATGAAATCAAACGGTTCCATGAACTTGTTCCAGTTGATGGCTTGTGGATTGACATGAACGAGGCCTCAAATTTCTGCACTGGGCTTTGCAAAATCCCAGAGGGCAAAAAGTGTCCCTCTGGCGTTGGACCTGGATGGGAATGCTGCTTAGACTGCAAGAATATAACAAAAACAAGATGGGATGATCCACCTTATAAGATAAATGCTTCAGGGATCAGTTCACCTATTGGTTACAAAACCATTGCTACCAGTGCAGTTCACTACAACGGCGTTTTGGAGTATGATGCTCACAGTCTATATGGCTTTGCAGAAACAATTGCGACTCATAAGGGACTTCAAGCCATTGAAGGTAAGCGGCCATTCATTTTGACACGCTCTACTTATGTGGGGTCTGGCCATTATGCTGCTCACTGGACTGGTGATAATCAAGGAACATGGAATGATCTGAAGTACTCAATTTCTACCATGTTGAATTTTGGTATATTTGGAGTGCCAATGGTTGGTTCCGATATATGTGGTTTCTATCCTCAACCTACGGAGGAACTTTGCAACCGTTGGATTGAATTGGGTGCTTTCTACCCATTCTCTAGAGACCATGCTAATTACTACTCACCGAGTCAAGAGCTCTACGTCTGGGATACAGTTGCTGAGTCAGCTCGAAATGCCTTGGGTATGAGGTACAAGATTCTTCCTTATCTTTACACATTAAGCTATGAGGCACACACTACTGGTGCTCCGATTGCTAGACCGCTATTCTTCACTTTCACCAACTACACAGACTGTTATGGATTGAGCACACAGTTCTTGCTTGGTAATGGTCTGATGGTATCGCCTGTTCTTGAGAAGGGAGCCAACAGTGTGAAGGCACTTTTCCCTCCCGGCTCCTGGTATAGTATGTTCGATATGTCTCAGGCTATTACTTCCAAGGCAGGCAAATACGTCACCCTTGACGCACCATTGCATGTGATCAACGTACATCTATATCAAAACAACATACTTCCGATGCAACAAGGTGGAATGACCTCGAAAGAAGCAAGGGCAACACCATATCATCTTGTAGTGACTTTCCCAGCTGGGGCTAGTCACGGACAAGCCAAAGGGAATCTCTTTGTTGATGAGGATGAACTCCCTGAAATGAAACTGGGAGGTGGATCCTCGACCTATGTCGATTTCTATGCAACTGTGGATCAGAATATGGTCAAGGTTTGGTCAGAAGTTCAAGAGGGCAAGTTTGCCGTAGACAAAGGGTGGACTGTTGGGAAGATATCTGTGTTGGGATTGGGTGGAAGTGCAGGATCTGTCGCCATTCAAGTTGATGGAAATGAAGTAACGAGTGCATTAGACATAGCTACAACATCATCAGAACAAAGTTACCACATACAGTCTGATGTAGATGCTGCGATGAAGACCGTGATGGTACAGATTAGTGGGTTGTCTTTGCCTATTGGGAAGAATTTCGCCATGTCCTGGAAAATGGGTGTTTAGGTTTTGTGGATGATTCAATGCATTCAATTTGTAGACCAGCTTCTTCATATATTTAGACAGATGATTCCTGATTTTTGTGCACAATTCCCTAACAGGAAGGGCAAGGAAAAGAGCAAACTTTGTGAGCATCCTTTTTCCGAAAAATAGACTAAATGAATTAAGTTGTAAGCAAGTATAGTTGCATTATGGTACGCAGTTTATTCTGGATTTTAATAAAAAAAATTCATGCTCTTACAAGTTACAATAACAATCAAATTCTCATTTAGAATTCATTTTCCTGAACAAAAAGTTCAAAGAAGAAATATAACTAAGAGTGATATAATATTTTGTACAATTATATTCATCATATTATTTGCCTTTTTTTCCAATTTAGGTCATATTGTCTCCACTTTAGGCGGCGTTATCTTTTATCTTATTTTTGCTAACTTTTAATTTTACTAGTCTCTTATGAGATTAAAACAAGTGTAAGTATTGACAATAGGGTTCTTGATTTAGAACCTTAGTTATTGGTCCAAAAATTGACCATTATGTGGTCAGTTTTTGAGACATAAAATTTCTAAACCATCAAGATAAGCGTAAATTGACAATCATTTATAGGTGTTTTGCCAACAGAGATTATAACAGAAGAAATTCATTGATGAAAAATTGTGAGTTTTACCAACTTATTAGTTATTACCACTGGACAAGAATATTGATAAATGAAGAATCTTTGATAAAAAAAAAATCAAAACTTATATTGAGAAATAGTTGTCCATGTAAATATGAAAGATGTGAGGATTTGAATCGAGATGAGCCTGAACATAAAGTTGACATGTGAATTTAAATTAATTTTTTACATCGAAGAATAAGATGGAGGAATATACATTAACGTAATTCATATAAGACTAGTAATCTCTACCGATTAGCTATTACCAATTAATTATTAGACTTAAATTTCTTTTATGTCACTAAGATTGCCACATTTAAGGAATTCATTATTTTAAAACTTGATTGAAGTCTTGCATTATCTTCTTTCCAATTTTTAAGCCTATATCTCTCCTCTTATAAGGTTAAGGAACAAAGTCAATGGGAGAATCATAGAAAGAATACAAAGCAATCTTAATAGGATGGAGAGAGTATGTGATTAGACTCTAAGATTTAGAGTGTGTTTGTACGATCAACCTATATTATCTTTTCCTTCCCCTTATTTCAAACAAAATGTATTTTGATACACTCACATATACGTTAAGTGAACAAGAGTTTATATTATATGGACTACAAAGTATAACTTTAGACTAGTTCAAATAATATCGTTTGAGAATATTCATACAAAGTTAAATTAAACAGAGCCTTAAGTTTATGCTTGCCCAACGAAAATTACTTTATTTAGTAAAATAGTATCGACGTATTGTTGATAGGATCTTGATAGGTAAACTTGACAAAACTGACCTAACCCGATACACACAATAAACAACCCAAGACAAACAAATCAACCTAAAGGCTGAAATGTTTGAAAAGGCCCATTTAAAGAGATTGAGGCCGTTTGACTCGCAATAGGCCTGGTCAATTGGTTGTCATTAATGACATTCCTATAAAAAGGTATCCTTAATCAACCCTAGATGAAAAGAATTTAGGGTTTATTTGACATCTTTTTTTTTTTTTTTTCCAGTTTTTTTTGAATTTTTTAAAACAAAAAATTCAAAATAGGAAACAAGAAAAAAGAGTTTTCACTTTTTTGTTGTCAGTTTATAAAATTATCATGATTTTAATAAATTAGCTAATTTATAATTCATTATTGGAAAATGCTATATGTAGCTCTAGCCTCTAAGGGCTATATATATAAGAAGCTAAAGAGGAAAGTACCAATGAAATATATTCATTAATCACATTAATTTGTGGGGTGATTTTGTTATGCATTTCTAAACTTATACTAAAAAAGGAAAGATATTAAAAGCTTATTTGTAGCCCTAAGGGCTATGTATAGCATTACCCTTGATTATTTGACATATATCATATGATTTTGAAAAATAAAAAGCCAAATAACATAAAACCAGTTAATGACAAGGGAACTCTTATTAATTTGATTTTAAAGTAACAATCATATAAACATTGTTGTAATTATTCGAACTAAGGAACTTGTTTGATCAAATTGATTAACGTTTTTTGTTGATCAAATGGCAATCTCGTAAATACCTTGCCTCGTATTCCGTAAAAAATTGAAAAAAAAAAATGCGCATGTGATCAGATGCCAGCTTTAAGTAACGTTATGCCTATAACGCCTGGTTAACGCTCTAGTAAACGGTGAATGGAATTCCGTCAATGAAGGGGTTAACTTGGTTGTACTTTTTTACCGTGGAGAGAGAAAGTAAATTAAGTAACTTTAAGGAGAAAGTAAATTAAGAGTATTAGGGAGATCGAGAAGGCCATTAAATTTCTGGAATTTGCGCTCGGCAAAGAGGTAATTTTTCTCGTCAATTCTGGCAATCGTTTTATTATCAACTGTTCATCGATGGTAGTTGTGAAATGTGGTGGTATTTGTTGGTAACGTAATTACTTGTTTAAGTGTCGTGATAATGAGAAAATTGGTGTTAATTAGTACTGGTTTAATTGAGGAAAGTCAAGTTAAATAATTCGGAGTACTGGTTTAATTGTGCAAATTCATGTGGATAAATACGTACGAATGGTTAAATTGATCAGATTCAAGTTATTAGATTTGGAGTATTGGTGTAATTGAGCAAAGTCATGTGAATAAATACGGATTAATGGTTTAATTTAGCAAATTCAAGTTAATGTAAGTTGAAAAATAGTTGTAAAATTGTAGGTTTTCCGAAAAAATAATTAGAGATTAGTTGTTATATTCAGTAATTAATTGTAAAATGTTAGGTTTATTGTTTTCAGTAGTATAATGTATAATTTAGGCTCATTTGACTTAATGCTGTGCTACAGGTACTCTTATAATTTAGTCAGTAACTATTGACCATTAATGTGATAATATGGCTGGCGATGTGGGTGGTGATTGTGATTTTTTGGCTTCTGACTGATAATTTGGGTGGTGGCTGGCCTGATTTTGTAGATGACATTGATCTTATGCCTCCAATGTCCCCAATCCGCGAAGGACAATCTACTAAAATTGTTGAATACCGTTCTCTCATTCAACCATTAATGTGATAATATGCCGGTGTGAATGAGGATGGTGAGTGGGAGTTAAGGAAGGTCATTAATGAGCACAGTCACAAACAAAATCCTAGTAACGCGATCTTAGTTAAAGAATATAGGATAAAGAACTACACCTCAAATGTTAGGAAGACTGTTAAATTTCTACGAAGAGGGTGTACCTGTTTCCAAAATTCGTAATGGCTTGTCGCATGAGAAGGAGGTGTTGCCTTCACTTAAGGACATGCAACATGAGGTTACAAAGCTAGGAAACTGAAAATGGAGTGGGGTGATGCGACAGCCATGATGGCTTATTTTGAGCGGATGCAAGCGGACAATCAGAACTTTTACCATTGTCACCGCCTAGACCAATTTGGTCGGTTGAAGGATGTTCTATGGGTGGATGCCAGGAGTCGGGCTGCGTATGAGTACTTTGGTGATTTAGTTTGGTTTGATGCTACTTATTTAACCAATCAATATGAATTTCCACTTGCAAACTTTGTGGGTGTGAACCATCATGGGCAGTCCATCCTATTGGGTTGTGCACTAGTTTCGCGCGAAGATGCTGAAACTTATGCATAGGTTTTCCGACAGTGGCTTGCTTGCATGGGCAACAGAGCTCCACGAGCTATTCTGACTGATCAAGCAGCCTCTATGAGGAAGGCCTTGGCAGAAACAATGCCCAGCTCCAGGCATCGTTGGTGTATATGGCATATTGTTAAGAAGTTTCCTGAGAAACTAGGAAAGTGTGACAAGTAAGTGCTTGGTTCATTGTTCTTAGTGTTGTTTTTGTTCATTTGTTATGTGTATTAGTGTCATTTGGGTATTCTGGAAAATAACCGTTTAATTCCTGGGATTTTTCCTGTTTTGTTGTGCATATGTGATTCTTGTACTGTTGTGTGCTGATATTATGTGTCTGTGTCAAAGGTGGATCTAATTTACAGTAGTTGATGTTTTGTTTTTTCTTGGATATATGCTTCTTAAATTTCCCTTTGTTAATTCACATGTGGGTATTCTATACATTTCATTGTTAAAGCACACCTCTGTTAATTCATTTGATCCTTAAAGTTGCCTTGGTTTATTGAATTGATGTCTGCTAATGTACCATGTACCATGGCTGTTCATTTGAAATCCGTTAGTATGAAAAGTGTTGTTAATGTAGCAATTTTATGTTTGTGGATTCTGTGACATTAGGTACAAATATTTCAAGAGTCCTTTGAAGGCCATAATATATGAGAGTTTTTACTGTGGGAGAGTTTGAAAGAAGGTAGTTGGATTGCATTAAAAAATATAAGTTGGGAGGAGAATGAGTGATTGGAGGGTTTGTTTGAGGAGAGACATGTGTGGATCCCTGCATTTATGCGCGAGTATTTTTGGGCGGGGATGAAAACCACGCAGCGAGTGGACAGCATAAACAGTTTCTTCAATGGGTTCGTTAATCGGAAAACCAAATTGTGTGAATTCCCCCGTACGTTACACCAGAGCAAATGATAAAGAGGGTTAAAGATGAGAATGAAGCTGATGCGAAGGCTACCAAATACATCAGACGCCTTGTGAGTGGATTCAAACATGAAAAATTGTTTCAAAAGCTATACACCGATGCTAAGTTCCAGGAAATTCAAAGAGAACTTTCCCGGATGATGTACTGTTATGATGGGGAGGTAAGTGTTAGCGATGAGAGCACGATTCGGTATGTGATTGATGATAGGGTGTGGATTGTACCGGAAGGTGAAAGTGAGGAGGTAATCACAGATCAACGTTGCAAGTACTCCATCTTGTTTAATCCAGTGACAAAGGAGGTTACATGTGATTGTAAAAAGTTTGAAACTCATGGCATCCTATGCAAGCACTACATTCGCGTCTTGGATAAGAATATGGTGGTTGAGATTCCTGACAAATACATTCTTGATAGGTGGCGTAAAGATATTGTTAGGAAGCACACTAGAGTGAGGGTTGCGTACCATGATCCCATGCAAACCCCTGAGGTTATAAAGTTCAACAAAATGATGAATGTATTTGAGCCAGTTTGTGACGATGCTGCAGCTGCTGATGATGACACACTTGACATAGTCATCAAAGCCTTATCTAAATATATCACCATCCATAGCTGTAATTTATGCCAATCGGGCCACTAAACAATCATTGTATTTAACGACATACAGGTCCACTGGGTGTTTGCAGCAACTAATTCCCCACTTACCACAACACATATCCAAAATTAACAAAACAAACACGACAAAATGGCAATTTACCTCAGTGAATCTGAAATTGGCATCACGTAACCCAGATGAAATTAACATAATAATAAACTCACGTAGCTAAAACTCACATAGCTAAAACGAATCTGATATTGCAAATAATTAATTCAATTTACGAAAACTAATGACATTTATTCGGAAACCTACCTAGAAGTCTCAATCAGTATATAACCATGTACTTTCATCTGACATTTAAATAGCAACTTAACATTAAAAACCATGCCAGCTCAGATTGCATATTAGCCAATCTCGAATTAGATCCAATTCTACAATAACTAGGGGTGGGACTTTTCAAACCGAACCGTGAAACCGCCCGTTATCGAACCGAACCATCACGGACCGATCCGTTTATAAACCGATAAATATAAACCGAAAACCGAACTGAACCGTTCAATATCAAACCGAAACCGAATCGAACCGCTCAATGTCAACCCGTTACGGACCGTAAACCGATAACAAACCAAACTGTGCAAATCCGAACCGAAACGAAACCGAACCGAATGGTTTATAAACCCGTTAATGACCCGAACCGTTTATAAACCGAAACCGTTTAAACCGAAAAAAACCGTTTAAACCGAACCATTTGTAACCCGCTAACCGTTTAAACCGACCCGTTTATGAACCGAAACCGTTTAAACCGCACGTATAAACCGAACCGTTATAATCCGCTAACCGTCTAAACTGAACTGCCATAACCCGTTAAACCGTTAAAATCGAACTGTTTTCGAATCGCAACCTGTTTAATCTGATCCGATTACAAACTGCTTAATTCAAATTGAATTATTTACAACCTAAATGGCTAAATAGTAAATACAATTAAATAATTAATGTTAATAAATGTAGATCTAATCAAACGGCTTAGGTTTATACAAAGGTTTATATCACCTAGATCTAGGCCAACGGCATTATTAATATCGTTTTAGATTACTTATTTATTTTAATTACAAGATATATCATTTGTATCATTTTCATTCCAGTAATAATGTTAGTCCACCCAAATTATCTTCATTGTTCCTTGATATTCATGGTCATCCAATAACACTCAAAGCCTCAAAGGTAACATAAGATTGGAGATGTATGAGATTGCGTTACACAAGTGGCATAAGCATTAGAATATTACTGTACTAGTCAATAAGGCGTACAATCATTCACATTACCACTTTATAAAACTTTCTTATACAAGTATTTTGTAAAGGGGAGGAATATCATTAAAATACGGAGGCATCCCAAATCTGTAGCCACAATTATTTCATAACATTACCACAAATCCAGCAGATAAATAACATTAAAATTAGAGTAATATCAACAAGCAATTAAAAAAAGTCACCATTTTCATTGATTAAAATTCACAATACATATACCAATACATAATGAAACTACTATCACTACTACCCAGATTAGATTTCAGATTTATCAACTGAAACATCATCAAGTTTAGGGTTGCAAAAAATGATACATGATAAGATGAAGGGAGGAGTGAGAATGTGAGTGATTTGGGAGCAGAATCTTGAAGCAGCAGCACAGCACCCAAGAGCAGAGGAAATAGCAGCAACAAGCAGGAACCAGCACACGCAATAACAGATCAGCAACTTATAAGAAGCAAGGAATAATATAAGCAGAAGGGACTCAGCAGGAACTTATTTTTGTTTTTCAAAATTGCTCTCAGATTTACGTTTATCGTATCATCACTGAGCAATGGCTGTTTTAACTTAAAACTTGAAAAATGCTGCCAGCAAGTACATATACATTGAAGTCTCAACATAAATGACAAGGGCAACGATGATTCAAGAAAAATTAAAACAGCAAGCATAAGAAACAGCAGCAACAAAACTTATCATAAATTCATAACACAAAAGGCAGCAACACAGCACCTCAAGCTGGCAGAAGGCAGGAACCAGCTCATGCAGGCAACAATATAGGCAATAACAACTCAGCAGAGACAACAACCAAAAGGAAAAAGCACTACCAGCAGGCAGCAACTCATAACAAGTTCAACCAACTTCAAAATTATAGCTTTTGTTTTTTAAAATTGCTCTTAGATTTACATCACCGAGCAATGGTTGTTTTAACAAAAACTTAAGAAATGCTGCCAGCAAGTACCAAAATACATTTAACTATTTAAGTCTCAACATAAATGACAAGGGCAACGATTTTAAAAGTCTTGAAAAATGCTGCCAGCAAGTCTGAAAATAAATGACAAGGGCAACGATTTTAAAAGTCTTGAAAAATGCTGCCAGCAAGTCTGAAAATAAATGACAAGGGCAACGATTTTTCAAGATAAAATAAACCACAATGAGACACAAATACCAGTTATGCAGATGAAGCACTTTCGGCTTCAATCTCTTTACCAATAAGGAGGACGTCTTCCTCAACATCCCAATAAATAAACAATGCATGTATTCCAACAATAATAATCACATAATCTGAACAACCCATCATCATTACTTTTAAATCGAGCATAATAAACAACAAAACAGCACAAATCTACCATTTTCCCGTAAAAAACAAAAATACAATCAACAACAGATTTTAGGCATATTTCGACTATATTCAAGCAAGAACAACAACAATAATCAAATACAAAAACAGAAAAACTGTATTAAAAAAAAACGAAAAGGAAAAAGTAATTACCTTTGACGGCTTGAAGGAGATTTGAAGATGGAGAATTGCCTGAACTGGAGATCAAAAGAAAAAATCAAGAATGTAGATTATCAGAACTTGAAATAAAAAAAAAAAACCGAAACGAAAACGAAAAAAATCGAATAAATTAACAAAAAAATTACCTTAGGGTTTGACGGCTTGAAGGAGAAGAAGATTTGAAATCAGAAATCATAAATCAGAACTTAGATCCAAAACAAAAATGAAACGAAAACAAAAACCCTAAATAAACAAACCGAAACAAAAACGAAAAAAATCAAAACGAAAACAACAAAAATTAACAAAAAAACGAGAATGTAAAGCGAGAAATCAAAAATGTAGATCCAAAACACAAATCAAACGAAAACAAAAACTCTAAATAAACAAACCGGAACAAAAACGAAAAAAATCAAAACGAAAACAACAAAAATTAACAAAAAAACAAAAAAAAACGAGAATGTAAAGCTAGAAATCAGAAATGTAGATCCAAAACACAAATGAAACGAAAACAAAAACCCTAATTAGGATTTTTAAAAGTTGAGAAGTTGAGCTTGAGATTCTTGAGAATTTCAGAACGAAAGAGTGAGAAACTGAGAAGTTAGAGAGAGAAACTATGACAGATTGTGAGATTAATCTAAAACGGCTGAAATGCTGAATGGCTGAGAGTGGGTTTTTTTTTCTAGGTTTAGGTTTTACTTCAGTTGATCTAACCGTCCATATTCAATCTCAACATCTAACCGTTCATTTTTTTTTGTAGATTCCAGAATATTCATCTAGATCTAACGGTCTAGATTTTTCTTCGTGCTTTTCTAGGTCTTTTAGACCGTTTTTTTTTATTTATTATTATTATTATTGTTGTTAGTATAATTATTTGTTAATATTATTATTATTACTAGTTTACTACTACTATTATTATAATATTATTATTATTATTATTATTATTATTATTATTACTATTATTATTATTATTATTACTATTACTATTATTATTATTATTATTATTACTTTTATTATTATTATTATTAGTTTATTACTTATAAGTTATAAATTGTAAGAAACGCAAATGTTTCAAAATTGAAATTGATTCAATACGACATAGTTAATGACTTAATGAGTTAATGCTCATCAATATCTGACATCTGTGAGTCTGTGACTGTATATCAGTATATATAATAAACTATAAAACTAATAATAACTTAATAAGTAATAATACTAATAACTAATAAAGTAATGAAAATCTAACCATTGTTTTTCATGGGCATTCAATCTAACCGTTGTATATTTGACTATTCGTACATTAGTATTGCATAATGATTTCATCACCACTTTAATTAGTGATTTCGTGATTTCGTCCATTTAACTTATTAAGTTGTTTGAGTTAGTAATCTAAATAAAGTAACAAACTAAATAACGAATCCATTTAATCTCGTGTAAGTTATAATTTATAAGAAATGCAATGTTTGGAAATGGAAATTGATTCAATACGATATTGTTAATGTATATGTAATTATAGATTAATTATTATGTATATCATATCGTACGAATGTACGGTTGGTATCATTATCATACTATCATAAGTATCATTGCCTCATTGAATTATTGGTATGTACTATAATCGATAATCATATTTACATATCTGATCATTAAAACTTAAAAGTTTAAAACACTTGTTGATCAATCTAATTGAATACTTGTACATTCTTAATTATCGATTTATCGTATTATAAGTATCAACTCATTAAATCATGGTCATGATTTCGTGATTTCGTCCATTTAACTTATTAAGTTGTCTGAGTTAGTAATCTAAATAAAGTAACAAACTAAATAACGAATCCATTTAATCTCGTGTAAGTTATAACTTATAAGAAATGCAATGTTAGGAAATGTAAATTGATTCAATACGATATTGTTAATGTATATGTAATTATAGATTAATTATTATGTATATCATATCGTACGAATGTACGGTTGGTATCATTATCATACTATCATAAGTATCATTGCCTCATTGAATTATTGGTATGTACTACAATCGATAAACATATTTACATATCTGATTATTAAAACTTAAAAGTTTAAAACACTTGTTGATCAATCTATTTGAATATTTGTACATTCTTAATTATCGATTTATCGTATTATAAGTATCAGCTCATTAAATCATGGTCATGACGCGATCTTTAAAACAATCATGAATTCAATTCATGACCCAAACCGTGAAACCGCTTATAAACCGAACCGACATGATCCAAACCGTTCATAAACCGAACCAATTGAACTGTGTAAACCCTCTACTAAACCGGCCCATTTCAAACTGAACCGACATGATTCGCAC